CCTCATCGCCATCGGTGTCCGACGCCTGTGCCACGGCCATGTCACTCCTGGCAACCCTGGGGCTGGAGCTGGACAGGGCCCTGCTCCCAGCTAGCGGGCTGGGCTGGCTTGTAGACTATGGGAAACTCCCCCTGGCCCCTGCCCCCTTGGCTCCCTATGAGGTCCTTGGGGGAGCCCTGGAGGGCGGGCTTCCAGGGGGGGGAGAGCCCCTGGCAGGTAAGGCAAGTGGAGAATGGATATGGGGTAAAGTGGTGGGGTGGGGGCCTAGGGACAGGGAAAGAGCTCGTTTATTTACTCCTTCATTTGGTAAATATTTAAGTCTAAAAATGTGCCAAAGCACTAGTTTAGATACTGGGGACACATCTAGGGACAAAAGTAACCTGATTTTTGGTCCCTGGAACTCACAGGGTAGTGGGGAGACCGGCAAGAGACAGAAGATGATTTCTAAGTAGAAAACTTAGCTGGGACTCCACTGGCTCACACATGTAGTCCTAGTTACTCAAGGGATCTGAGGCTGGGCACTGGTGGCTCAGCCTTCTAATTCAAGCTACTAAGGCTGAGATCTGAGATTAGTTTGATGCCAGCCTAAGCAGGAAAGTCCATGAGACACATCTCTGATTAACCACCAGAAAACCAGAAGTGGCACTATGGCTCAAAAGGGTAGAGCCTTAGCCTTGAGCAAAAGAGCTCAGGGCCAATGCCCACGTCCAAGTTCAAGCCCCATGACTGACAAAAAAAAAAAAAAAGTGAAGCTGTGGTTCAAATGATAGCGCAATAGCCTTGAGCAAAAGAAGCTCAAAGACAGCACCTAGTCCCCGAGTTCCAGCCCCAGGACCCATCAAAAAAAGAAAAAAGAAGAAAACACTTAACTGACCGGTTAGTTTCCCTGAATAATCTGAGCAAATAAGTCACATACACACACACATACACACGTACGTGTGAGTACCCAGTAGAGCTCAGGGAACTTTCTGTCCCTTCTTCAACCCCCAGGTGATGGCTTCTCTGATTGGATGACCGAACGAGTTGACTTCACAGCTCTCCTCCCCCTGGAAGCCCCACTTCCCTCCGGTGCCCTCCCTCCCCCTTCCCCAGCCCCCCCTGATCTGGAAGTCATGGCATCCTTACTCAAAAAGGAGCTAGAACAGATGGAAGACTTCTTCCTGGATGCCCCCCTCCTCCCACCATCTTCCCCACCACCACCCCTGCCACCTGCGCCCACCCTCCCTCTGCCCCTCCCCACGTTTGACCTCCCCCAGCCCCCTGCCCTGGATACCCTGGACCTGCTGGCCATTTACTGCCGCAGTGAGGCTGGGCCGGGGGACATGGGCTTGGCATCCCTGCCAGGCCCCCAGGTGCCCCCTCCTCCTCCTCCTCCTCTCCCTCCTCCACCACCACCGCCATCTTGCCGCCCAGCCCCTTACCCCAATCCTGCTACCACCCGTGGGGACCGCAAGCAGAAAAAGAGAGACCAGAACAAGTCAGCGGCTCTCAGGTACCGCCAGAGAAAGCGGGCGGAGGGCGAGGCCCTGGAGGGCGAGTGCCAGGGGCTGGAGGCCAGGAACCGGGAGCTGAGGGAGAGGGCGGAGTCGGTGGAGCGGGAGATCCAGTATGTCAAGGATCTGCTCATCGAGGTGTACAAGGCCCGCAGCCAGAGGACCCGCAGCAGCTAGACAGGGCTGGGGCCCAGTGACAGGTCCCCTTTTGTCCCCTTCTGTCTTTGTCCTCATCATCGCCTCTCACCCATGTTTGAGTTTTTCCCCCCTACCAGATGTTCAACATCTGCACACACACACACACACACACACACACACACACACATCCCCTCTCCCCCAGTGTATCCCAGGGAACTGAGGCCCTCTGTGGGAGCTAGGAGCTCTGGCTCTGCAGTTCCTTTGCTTTTTCTTGTGGGACTGGGGATGAGCCCAGGGCATGGTACATGGCTTCTGCTCCCTTCCCATGAGGCTCTGAGATTTCAATGAGTGGTTTCCTGCAAATGGGGCAGAGGGGCCACAGAACCAAGCTAGGAGGGAAGCTACCATGCAAAGAAGAGAACACAGCTTAAAAGCAGGCCAGCTCAGGGAGGGAGGGAGCCAGTCCACAGATCCAGATGGTGGGGAAGAAAGGGGTGCTGTAGCTGGTGGCTGGGTAGGGGGGATTTATTTTAGCTTGGGAAAGAATCAGTGTTTGTGAAGGTGTTGGGATGGGCTACACATAGGTGAAGGGGGCGCTGGTCCAGGGTTGGGGGGAGCTAGGAGAGAAATAAAGTACAGAATTTCCTCTGATCAGTGTGTCTCGTCTTTGTTTCTTTGTTTTGACAGCATCAGGACTTGAACTCAGGGCCTGGCACTGGCTAGGCAGGTTGTCTACTGAAATGGTGGCACTGTTCCCGAGTTCATATCCAAGAGCCAATGGCAATGGACAAAAGCAGCAGGCACAGTTGGATGCCATGGCGCATGCATGTAATCCTGACTACTCAGGAGGCAGAGATCTGAGGATCGTGGTTCAAAGCCAACCTGGGCTAGAAACTCCATGAGAGACTCCAATCTCCAATGAACCACAAGGAAAACAAGTGGAGCTGTGGCTCAAAGTGATAGAGGGCTAACCTTGAGAAGACAAAGCTCAGGGACAGTGCCCAGGCCCTGAGTTTAAGCCCCATGACTGACAAATCCTTCCTTATTTAGTGCTTAAACTGGGGCCTCAGCTTTCCTGCTCATAGCTAGCACCACTTGAGCCACACCTCCACTTCTGCCTTTTGTTGGATATCTCTGTTCGAGATGGCTTCAAACCTTGATCCTCAGATCTCAGCCTCCTAAGTAGCTAAGATTATGGGCATAAGCCCCCAGCCCCAGACAAAACTCTTATTTTTTAATTTTTTTTGCCAGCCCTGGGACTTGAACTTGAGGGCTTGAACTGTTCCTGAGCTTATTTTGCTCAAGGCTAGAACTATCATAGTGCCACTTCTGGCTTTTTCTGTTTATGTGGTACTAAAGAATTGAACCAGGGCTTCATGCATGCTAGGCAAGCGTTCTACATACCCAGGCCCGCCTTTACTTATTTTAAAGAAGTGTGTGGTGGAGCATCCTAGTCAGCCCAGCTGTGCAGGAAGCCTAGAAGGAGGCTCTCAAGTCCAGGCTAACTAAGCATAAACAGACTATTCAAAACATAACTCAAAACAAAGAGGAGCCGGGCGCTGGTGGCTCACGCCTGTAATCCTAGCTACTCAGGAGGCTGAGATCTGAGGATCGTGGTTCAAAGCCAGCCCGGACAGGAGAGACCATGAGACTCCTTTCTCCAATAAATCACCAGAGGGGCTGGGAAGGTGGCTCAGTGGTAGAGCGCTTGCCTTGCATGCATGAGGCCCTGGGTTCGATTCCTCAGCACCACATAAGCAGAAAAAAAAAAAAGCCGGAAGTGGCACTGTGGCTCAAGTGGTAGAGCGCTAGCCTTGAGCTGAAGAGCTGAGGGACAGCGCTCAGGCCCCACGACCGGAACCCCCCCCCCAAAAATAAATAAATAAATAAATAAATCACCAGAAAACCGGAAGTGGTGCTGTAGCTCAAGTGGTAGAGCGCTCACCTTGAGCTGAAGAGCTGAGGGACAGCACCCAGGCCCACCCAGAGTTCAAGCCCCACGACCGACAAAAAAAAAAAAAAAAAGAGGACTAGGGTTCAAATCATAGAAAGCCTGCTTAACAAGCACAAAGCCCTGAGTTCAACCTCCCCCCCAAAAAATCTAACCCAAAACTTGGGGCTGTGGTGTAGCCCAGCTCTATATCACTTGTCTGGCATGCACAAGGGTCAATCCCCAACACAACAAAAGCAACACAAAATGAGAAGAAAACCCTGGCACGCCAGTGGAATTGCACCTTATAATATGTCTGCCAGTGCCTGTCAGGAGGGTGGACCCTGTGAGGCAGAGGTTGGGGTGTCAGGTTGTCACCCTACTCTTGACTGCTTCATGTTTGCCTGAGCTATGAATGAGCAAGTGAGTGAGTAAATAAACCAATGAGTGAGTGAATGAAGGAATATATGGGTAAACCAATGCATGAGTGAATAAGCTAATGAATGAATGTTTCAAGAATGAGGGGCTGGGAAGGTGGCTCAATGGTAGAGTGCTTGCCTTGCATGCATGAGGCCCTGGGTTCAATTCCTCAGCACCACATACGCAGAAAAAGCTGGAAGTGGAGCTGTGGCTTGAGTGGTAGAGCAGTAACTTTGAGCTGAAGAGCTGAGGGACAGCACCCAGGCCCAGAGTTCAGGCCCCACAACCAACAACAAAAAAATGAGTGAATGAATGAATGTTTGAAGAATGAGTAAGTACATTGGATGGGCACTGGTGGTTCACACTTGTGATCCTAGCTATTCAGGAGGCTGAGAATTGAGGATCATGGTTCAAAGCCAGCCTGGAACGTCCATAAGACTTTCTTTTTTGTCGGTCTCAGGGCTTTAACTCTGGGCCTGGGGGCTGTCCCTCAGCACTTCAGCTCAAGGCAAGTGCTCTACCACTTGAGCCACTTCCAGTTTTCTGGTGGTTTATTGGAGATGAGTCTCACAGACTTTCCCGCCTGGGCTGGCTTTGAACCGTGATCCTTAGATCTCAGCCTCCTGAGTACCTAGGATTATAAGTATGAGCCACCTATGCTTAGCCATGAGACTCTTATCTCCAAAGAACCACGAGAAAACCAGAAGTGGTGCTATGTCTCAAGTGGTAGAGCGCTGGCCTTGAGCTGAAGAGCTCTGGGACAGTGCCCAGGCCCATAGTTCAAGCCCCATGACTAACCAAAAAAAAAGTAATGGAGCGAATCATCAGAAATCCCATTACTCAGCTACAGCCATCGCTCCCCTGTCCCTCTTGGGGGCTCTGGTGTACTCTGAGAATGACCAGGACAGCAACTTCTGGCTGGGACAAGTTCCTCCCTGCCCCCTGTCCTAGGTCTTGTCGGGGAAAGCAGAAGTTGGGAGAGGATCTCTGCAGACAGAGCATTTCTGCAATTCCTCTTGGCCAGAGGTCCCAGCCAAGGCCCTGACATGCAGCAGCTGCTCCTGCTGCTGCTCCTGCTGAGGGCAGGGGGCCAGGCCGACAGGCCAGGGCACCAGGTGGAGCCCCGAGGAGGGATTCAGCTCAAAGTTCCACAGCACCAGCTGAAGGTACAGGAGTCGGTGACGGTACAGGAGGGCCTATGCACTCTGGTGTCCTGCTCTGTCCACTACTCCCAGGTGGGCTGGAACTACTCTGTGCCTGCCTATGGCTACTGGTACCGGAGAAAGAAAAGTTCTGGTTTCAGCGCAGACCCCAGTGCTCTTGTGGCCACCAACAACCCGGACAGAAGAATGGCAACGATTACCCAAACTACTGCTTTCCACCTTATTGGGGACCCAGGAGCTAATGACTGCTCCCTGAGAATCTCAGGAGCCCAGATGGGCGACAGTGGACGCTACTATTTTCGCCTGGAGAGAGGAGATGAGAAATTCACCTACAAAAATCCCCTTCTCATGGTGACTGTGACAGGTAAGGGACTGTCCCCATGAGGGAAGCTTGGATTGCGTGGGGACAGATGGTGGCCAGAGCCTGGGTGATTTGGGGTTCATGTGTATCAGAGGCTCACATGGGCCCCCTGTGCGTGTGGCTCTCCTTCTGTCCTCACCAGCGCTGACACAGATCCCCGACATCAACATCAAGGAACCCCTGGAGGCAGGCCGCCTCAGCCACCTGAGGTGCTCCATGCCTGGGACCTGTGAGGGGGCCCTGGCCCCTAACATCTCCTGGCATGGGTTGGCCTTGAAGGCCCACAGCTCCCAGAATATCACAGTTATTCCCCGGCCCCAGGATCATGGCTCCAACATCACGTGTCGGGTGATCCTTCCCAGCACTGGGGTGTCTAGAGAACGGACTGTGCAGCTCAGTGTGTTCTGTGAGTGCCGGGGAGAGGATGTGGGGGTGCTGTGGTGTGGATGCATTGTGATTCCCCATGTTCCCACCCCCTAAAGCCCAAGGCAGGGACATTGGTCGGGTCAGGTCTACTTCCTGTTTCGTGTTCCTGGTTCCTGGATGGTGGTGCGAGGTGGGGGTGGGGGCTGTCAGCCGTGGACCTGGCCCTCACTGCATCTCTCTGTCTAGATGCTCCTCAGACGGTGACCATCAGCAGCAGTGGAGGAGGTGACACAGGTAGGCTGGCCATCCCTCTTAGGAGGGCAGGATGGGTCCCTGCCAGCTGTGAGTGGAACTATCTAGTGGGTGGAATGGGTGGGGTAATGTGGAAGGGGTCTATCTCTTCTGGATGGGAGAAAATTGAAAATTGGTGTGTGTGTGTGTCCTAGAACTTGAACTCATAGCCTGGGCACTGTCACTGAACTTTTCTACTCAAGTCTGGTGCTCTACCACTTGAACTACAGCTCTACTTCTGGCCTTTTGGAGATTCATTGGTGACATTTCATGGACTTTTCTGCCCAGGATGGCTTTGAACTGTGATCCTCAGATCTCAGTCTCCTATGTAGCTAGGACTACAGGTGTGAGCCACTGGCACCCAGCCTTTATTTTTGTTCAGAGTGTGGCTTGAAATCTGGGCTTGGGCACTGTCCTTGTGCTCTTCAGCTCAAGGCAAGCACCACTTCCAGTTTTCTGGTGATTTTTTAGAGATAAGATTCTCACAGACTTTTCTGCCCAGGCTGGCTTTGAATCACGATCCTCAGATCTCAGCCTCCTGAGTAGCTAGGATGACAGGCGTGAGCTACTGGCACCCAGTTCCGGCTTTTATTTTTGAGACAAGATCTCATTTTGTAGCTGAGGTTGACCTCAAACTCCACTGCTCCTGTCTCTACAGGTGAGAAGCACCCAGTCCGGCCTGCACCCTCATATCTCAGGCTCTTGTGAAAGTGCTCATTCTGGTTGAGCTCTATGAAGGCAAATCTGCTTTACTTATTTATTTATTTTAGTCGGTGGTGGGTTTGAACTCTGTCCCTCAGCTCTTCAGCCCAAGGCCAGTGCTCTACCACTTGCTGCAGCGCCACTTCTGGTTTTCTGGTGGTTCATTGGAGATAAGAGTCTCACGGACTTTTCTGCCCAGGCTGGCTTTGAACTGCAATCCTCAGATCTCAGCCTACTGAGTGCTAGGATTACAAGTGTGAGCCCAGGCCCCTGGCCAATAACACTCTTTTTTTTTTTTTTTTGTCGGTCGTGGGGCTTGAACTCTGGGCCTGGGCCCTGTCCCTCAGCTCTTCAGCTCAAGGCGAGCGCTCTACCACTTGAGCTACAGCGCCACTTCTGGTTTTCTGGTGGTTTATTGGAGATAGGAGTCTCACGGTCTCTCCTGCCCAGGCTGGCTTTGAACTGTGATCCTCAGATCTCAGCCTCCTGAGTAGCTAGGATTACAGGCGTGAGCCACCAGCGCCCGGCCAATAACACTCTTATCTCCAATAAACCACCAGAAAACTGGGAGTGGCGCTGTGACTCAAGTGGTAAAGCACTAGACATGAGCTGAAGAGCTCAGGGACAGCGCCCAGGCCCAGAGTTCAAGCCTCACGACTAACAAAAAAAAAAAAAAGCCTCAAGGACTTTGCCTGGGCTGGCTTTTAACCACGATCATCAGATCTCAGCCTCCTGAGTAACTAGGATGACAGGTGTGAGCCACTGGCACCTAGTGAAGCAGAGGATTTTGATACTGTAGAACTTTCCCTCTTGCTCTCCTGTCTCTGCCTAGAGTCCCAAGGTAACACGACATGCATGGATGTCCGCAAAGGCCAGTTTCTACGGCTGCTCTGCACTGCAGCTGGCCAGCCTCCCCCAACACTGACCTGGGTCCTTGGGAACCGAGTTCTCTCGAGATCAAATGTCACCGACCCTGGAACCCTGGGGCTGGACCTGCCTGAGGTGGAGGTCAGGGATGCGGGGCGCTACACCTGCCACGCGGAGAACAGACTAGGCTCCCAGCACCGTGCCCTGGACCTCTCTGTGCAGTGTGAGTGGACCCTAGGGGGGCAGGGGAGGGGATGGAGAGAGGTCAGGGGAAGGACAGTGGAGGGGTCAGGGGAGGGGAGGGCAGGGGTCAGAGCGCCACAGCTTCCAGGGCTGAGCAAGCCCAGGGCCTCGGTTTGTGTATAAGGCGCAGGCAGAGGGAGCCTGGCCATTGTGTCTCCATTGCAGACCCTCCGGAGGCGCTGACAGTGACCGCTTCTCAAGGAAACAGCACAGGTGACAGGGGACACAGGAAGCCAGGCCTCTCATATCCTTTACAGGTGGGGATGGCACCCCACATCTTTCTCTCCCTCCTCTAGAGCTGGAAATCCACAGGAACGGCTCGTCCCTCCATGTCCTGCAGGGACAAAGCCTGCGCCTGGTCTGTGTCACCCACAGTTACCCATCGGCCACGCTGAGCTGGGCCCGGGGTTCCCAGACGCTGAGCCCCACCTGGCCCGCAGAGCCTGGGGTGCTGGAGCTGCCCGTGGTTGAGGCAGAACATGAAGGAGAATTCACCTGCCGGGCGCAGAACCCACTGGGCGCCCTGCACATCTCCCTGAGCCTCTCTGTGCACTGTGAGGAGGGGACACTGAGGCCTGGGGGGGTGGGGGGGGAGACAGGGGACATCTGCTGACCCTGGGCCTCCCACAGCCCACCACAACTGCTGGGCCCCTCTTGCTCCTGGGGGGGGGGGGGCTGAGGGCCAATGGCAACACCCCAGTCACCATTACCTCCAGTTCAGCCAGGCGGGGTGGGGGGGGGGTGCCGCTGAGGCCCTGGGGTAGGGGTGGGACTCAGCTCCAACTCAGGCTCAGCTGCAAGGCCCGGAATGTGCATAGGGCCCAGATCACCCCTGTCTTGCTGCCCCAGGTCAGGGGACCTAGGAACAGGGTTTAGGATTATGGGGAGTTTTGGGGGGACACAGGCTAGGGCTAATGGCCAGAACAGGCAGGCAGAGTCCCTGGTCACCAGAATGCCTGGCCTGTGGCAGGCTCAGGGAGGAAGAATGGGAGGCAGAGGTGTGTGGACAGGAAAGGTTCTGGGGTTTGGGAGGGGGAGAGAGGTGTCACCCTCAACCCTGCTGCTATGTAGGGAAGGCAACTGCGACCAGGATGTTCACCCTTGGGACTGTGTGTGGAGCTGGCGGGGCTGCCATGCTGTTTCTCTGTGCCACCCTCGTCTTCTGTCGGTGAGGGATCTTAGGGGGTACAGCGGGTGGCGGGGGGGAATACAATTCTACCCAATCCCGCTGGCAGCTCTGGCCAGGGCCTAGCTTTGAGCATTGGGCCCAGGCCAGAGCAAGGGCAAGCTCAGGCCTGTGCCCACCCCAGCTCCAGCTCCTGGGAAAAGGGTCCCCAGGGGTCACCCAGAGGTCATCTGACTGTCCCCCAATCCCCAGGCTCTTTAGGGCTACTAGTGTCCTGCAAGCAGAGGTCCTGTGGTCCCACCCCAGGCCCTGAGCCCAAGGGGGACTGAAAGGGCCTGCCCCTTCCTCTTCAGGATGAAGACCCGCAGGACGGAAGCTACCAGCCCACCCGCTACTGTGACAGTTGCCTGCTCCACCCCAAGAACCACCTGGAAGGTGAGGAGCAGCTTGTGTCCATCTGGACTGCCTGATCATCTCCCAGGATACCCAGCACCATACTTCTGATGATGGTCTATGGCCTAGACCAAATAGGCTCTGTGTGTGTATGTGTGTGTGTGTGTGTGTGTGCATGCTGGCCTGGTACTTGAACTCAACTTGTCTCTTAGCTTTTTTTGCTCAAGACTGGTGCTCTACCACTGGAGCCACACCTCCCCTTTGGGATTTTTTCCTGGGTTAATTGGATGTAAGAGAATCTCTCATGGGCTGGGAATGTGGCTGAGTGGTAGAGTGCTTGCCTAGCACGTGTGAAGCTCTGGGTTCGATTGCTCAGTAGCACAAAAAAAGAGAATCAGATTTGTATGGGCTAGCTTCAAACCTTGATCCTCAAATCTGAGTCTCCTTGGTGGCTAGGATTATAGGCATGGATACCTGTGCCAGGCTCCCAGTTAGACTTTTGCTACTGGCCGCCATCCATGGACTCAGTCCCCAGCCCAGTGGCTGGGAACCTCTCCTGGCCTGACTTCCTGTCCACTGCCAAAGCCCAGGCTGCCCAGGCAGGGCCCCTCCCGCTGCTGCCTCCTTATTTCTCTCTGAACCTTAACCCCCATTCCTTCTTCTTGTCCCTCTTCTGTGATACAGGGTGCCAGCCAAAGCTGTTCCAAAGGGCAGTGGTCCTCGGAGATCAGAATGACCAGGAATTGAGTCTTGCTCTGACCCCCTGATCAGAAGTGTGGCAGGGGTAGTGACTAAGCCCCCATCTCCCCAGCTGGTTCTTCCCAGTGGACTCCTGGGAAAAGATTTTATGAAACCTAGTCAATTATCAGGAGGCAGGCACTGAATCTCAGCTAGGTTTGCAATGAATAAATGAGTGCATGAATGAATGATGCCTAGCTAATGTTAGGGAAATATCAGATGAAAAACGAATAGCTATTTCCTGGATTCTTCTGTCTCTTTCCCCAGTCCCCATTACCAGATTTGATCCTTTTCTCCCTTCCCCCCCTCCCTGCCCCCATCTAGAGTCACATGAAGGAATCCAGGCTAGCCTTCCCACCACCTGCTGTGGCCAGGCCCACCAAGGAGGAGGAAGAGCTAGACATCCATTATGCTTCCCTCAGCTTCTCTAGGCTGAAGCCTGCAGAGGCTTGGGACTCCAGTGCCTCCACCAACACGGAGTATGCGGAGATCAAGATCCACAAGTGAGAGGCTGGGAAGGTGGCTCAGTGGTAGAGTGCTTGCCTTGCATGCATGAGGCCCTGGGTTTGATTCCTCAGCACCACATAAACAGAAAAACCCAGAAGTGGTGCTGTGTCTCAAGTGGTAGAGTGCTTGCCTTGAGCTGAAGAGCTGAGGGATAGCACCCATGCCCAGAGTTCAGGCCCCATGACCGACAAAAAAAAAAAAGATCCGCAAGTGAAGCACATACCATGCGAGGCACCCAGGTGATGGGCAGGGGACCTCCCATCACCATCAGCAGCCTCCCCTTGGGCACCTGACACCAGGGACCCATCTGTAAATCTGGCAGGCTTTGTGAGACCCTAAAGGAGGTGACTATTGTGGGCCCTGCAGGGCTGTGCCTGCACCACAGCCTGAGTCTCTCCGATGACAGACTCTTGCACGTCCTTGGTGTTGATGGCTGGGGGGCCCTGGATCCCCCTACACACCCCCAAACAATCCTTTGGTCCTCAAAATTAAACATCCAAGCATGTAAATTGCTTATCTCTCTTAAAATTCTAGTTTCTTGGTCTTTCTTTTTTGTGCCAGTCCTGGGGCTTGAACTCAGGACCTGGACTCTGTCCCTGAACTTCTTTGGCTCAAGGCTAGCACTCTACCACTTGAGCCACAGCGCCACATCTGGCTTTTTGTGTATGTGGTACTGAGGAATCGAACCCAGGGCTTCATGCATGCTAAGCAAGCACTCTACCATTGAGCCACATTCCCAGCCCTCATTTTTTTTGGGGGGGAGGGGGTCAGTTGTGGGGCTTGAACTCAAAGCCTGGGCTCTGTCCTTGAGCTTTTTTCTACTCAAGGCTAGTACTCTACAACTTTGAGACACTTATGGTTTTCTGGGGTGTTAATTAGAGACGAGTCTTAACAGGCTGGACATTGGTGGCTGATGCCTATGTTAGTTACTCAGGAGACTGAGATTTGAGGATCATAGTTCAGAGCCAGCCAAGGCAAGAAAGTCCTGTGAGACCCTTATCTCCAATGAATCACCAGAAAACCAGAAGTGGTACTTGGCTCAAAGTGGTAGAGTGCTAACTTTGAGGAGTCAGGCTCCAAGTTAAAGCCCTACAACAGACCAAAAAAAAGTCTCTGGACTTTCCTTCCTGGGCTGGCTTCAAATCTTGACCCTTAGATCTCAGCCTCCTGAGTAGCTAGGATTACAGGTGTGAGCCACCAGAGCCTGGTGTCATTTTGTCTTTTAGCAGATTCACTTCTAGAATTTCTTCATTTGTACCTGTGCCCACACATAGTGCCGGTTTCTGTGGCTTTACCCAGCTTCATCAGTCTTGTTTCCCCGGGGCATATCAATTGGTGAAAAATCAGACACCACCTTCATTGTAGGCCAGGCGTTTGCCACGCAAGGCCTGAGCAGCAACTGGACCCTCAGCGGCATCTTCCATCTCCCCAGCAACCATTTCTGATAAGGAGGGCACTGAGAAAAAAAAAACATCATTGCAATTTTTGTTTATTTTGGTGTTAAGTGTTTGAACTCAGGGCCTAAAACCTATTTAAGCAGACTCACAGCTCAAGCCTGGCTCTCAGGCCATTTGGCTTTCTTTTTTTCTTACTAGTGCTAGGGCTTGAACTTAAGACCTGAGTGTTGTCCTTGTGCTTCTTTTTTTTTTCTTTTGTCGCTTGTGGGGCTTGAAGTCTGGGCTTGGGCGCTGTCCCTCAGCTCTTTAGCTCAAGGGAAGCGCTCTACTGCTTGAGCCACAGCACCACTTCTGGTTTTCTAGTGGTTTATTGGAGATAAAAGAGTCTCACAGGCTTTCCTGCCCGGGCTGCCTTTGAACTGCAATCCTCAAATCTCAGCCTCCTGAGTAGCTAGGATTACAGGCATGAGCCACCAGAACCAGGCTTCCTGTGCTGCTGCTTTTTTTTTTTTTTTGCTGGTCATGGGGCCTGAACTCTGGGTCTGGGTGCTGTCCCTCAGCTCTTCAGCTCAAGGCTAGCTAGCGCTCTTCCACTGGAGCCACAGCACCACTTCTGGCTTTTTTTGCTTATATGGTGCTGAGGAATCGAACCCAGGGCCTTATAAACACTCTATCGCTGAGCCACCTTCCCAGCCTCTTCCCTGTGCTTCTTTTGCTCAAGGTTGCTCTACCACTTGATCCACAGCTCTACTTCTGACTTTTTTTGTGTTTAACTGGAGATGAGGGTCTCACAGACTTTCTGCTTGAGCTGGCTTTCAACTGAGATCCTTAGATCTCAGCTTCTGAGTAGCTAGGATGACAAGTGTGAGCTACCAGCATCCAGCTTATGGGTTTAAAGAATGTCTCACCATGTTACTCAGGCTGACCTGGAACTCTTCAACTCAAGTGATCCTCCTGCCTCGACCTGCTACGTAGCTGTGACCATAGTAATATACCACTGTGTCGGGCAAATCTTTGAGTCTATGAATGAAAGATGGAATGGTTGGATGGAAGATTGAGGAAATAGAGGGAATAGATGAATGGAAGAAACAGTTAAACTTTACCCCCCCCCCCCAAAAAAAAAAAGAACTTTTCTAGACATGGACTCTGGAAGCTCCAATAAAACAATTTATTACTAAAACCTAGTGGTACGGGAGAGAAGGGGAGGTATGGGGCCTCTGGGGGGCTGCTGTCCTCACTGCCCACAGCCCCTGGCTGCCGGAGACCACAGGAGAGGCAGGAGGAAGGCTGACATTACCAGGAGGGTCACTCAGATGGACTGGTATTAAACAGGACTAAAGAAATGCCTGGAATGCACATTTGTGGGATTTTGCTAGAAGCTTCTCTGATCAAACAGCAGGTCTCTAGTCACATTACTTCACTCTTTAGTTGAAAGTTCTGGAAAACAATAAAAATGGGTATTAGTGTCATATTCATTCAGAGACACCCTGGTAGTGTCAGGCCGCTACCAGGGAGTAGGGACACAGCCATAAGTGACAGGGTCAGCTGTTCCAGGACATGTGGGGTAAGGGGTGGGGGTGGGGCTGGTCTGACCTCTGGGAAGCCCTCTTTAAAGTCCTGGGTGGCAAAGGTGAGGGAGAGGACAGAGAGATGAAGATGCACAATTCCCACCTGGATTCCACCTAAGGCACTATATGGAGGTCAAGGGGGTCGTAGGGTGATGCCCGCAGGTCCTGCAGCAGGGCTTCGAGATTGTTCCTCAGTACGGCATAGGGTGGTTTCTCATCATACTGGAGGTTCATCACCACCCTCAGGTACTCCTTCAGGGTCTCTGTCAAAACATCCCAGTATGGGAGGAGGCTGAGAGGTGCCCCCCGGCCCAGAGCTGCACCCACAGGTCACTGGCAGGAGCACCCTGGGCTCCGGTGTTCCACAGCACCCTTTGACTCAGTGTTTCTTCTGTGCAGAGAATGTCTGTTTCTGCCTCCAGCTTAGAGAAGCACAATCTTTTCAAAAGGACATTACGGTGCTAAGAAACATCTCCCAAACTGATTCATTGATCCACCAATCAAGCAATTCAGTGGGTAATGATAAGTGTTGGCTTATTATATTGGCCAAACCAACAGAGCACAGCTATCAAAAGCAGCTGCTGTAGGCCTGTGGTGTGTCAGAACGGGGGAGACAGGTGCCAAGGTCAAGTACAAAAAATGTGCAAAATGGATTAAGGTGAGCTAATTTTCTGGTGTGGTTGTGCATGCCTCTAGTCCCAGCCACTCAGGAGGATCACCAGTTGCCAGCCAGGCAACATTAGCAAGATCCCATTTCAAAAGCAAAATATAGCTGGGCGCCAGTGGCTCACGCCTGTCATCCTAGCTACTCAGAAGGCTAAGATCTGAGGATCATGGTTCAAAGCCAGCCTGGGCAGGAAAGTCCATGAGACTCTTATCGCCAATAAACCACCAGAAAACCAGAAGGGCTCAGGGACAGCACCCAAGCCCAGATTTCAAACCCCAGGACCAAAAAGAATAAAAGCAAAATACAAATGCGTGGCAGAGGACTAAGCAGAGGGCTAGAAAGAAATGAGAACTTTTTTTCTTTCTTTCTTTTTGTGCCAGTACTGGGGTTTGAACGCAGGGCCTGATATTTTTGTTGTTGTTGTTGGTTGTAGGGGCTGAACTCTGGGCCTGGGCGCTGTCCCTCAGCTCTTCAGCTCAAGGCTAGCACTCTACCACTTGAGCCATAGTGCCACTTCTGGCTTTTTTCTGCTTATGTGGTGCTGAGGAATTGAACCCAGGGCCTCATGCATGTGAGGTAAGCACTCAACCATTGAGCCAACTTCCCAGCCCCAAGGACCTGGTGGTATCCCTGAGCTCTTCTGCTCAAGGCTAGTCCGCTACCACTTGGGCCACAGTTCCACTTTCAGTTTTTTGATGATTAAATGGAGAGAAGAGTCTCACAGCCTTTCCTTCCTGGGCTGGCTTTGAACCTGGATTCTCAGATCTCATCCTCCCGAGAGGCTAGGATTATGGGTGTGAGTCTACTGGTGTCCAGATCAAAACCTCAAATTTTTTTTAAAATTTTAATTATTTATTTATTTATTTATTTTTTTTGCCAATCGTGGACCTGAACTCTGGGCCTAGGCGCTGTCCCTCAGCTCTTCAGCTCAAGGCAAGCGCTCTATCGCTTGAGCCACAGCATCACTTCCGGCTTTTTCTGTTTATGTGATGCTGAGGAATCGAACCCAGGGCCTCATGCATGCAAGGCAAGCGCTCTACCACTGAGCCACCTTCTCAGCCCCAAAACCTGGAATTTTTTACAAAAGAAGTCCATCCCAAGATATAGCTAGCCCCTGGTCCTGTACAGGGCCCACCTGCACCCTCCCTTTCCAGGCTGTACCTGAGGGCTTGACACAGCGACCACACAACCTCACGAGGGCCTCTGGGTTGTCGAAATACCTGGAGAGAGAGAATCTCAGGTGAAAGGTCGTCTAGGGAAGAGAGAAGAGCAACCTTCCAAGAGGCACCCACAGTCCATCCTGGTTATTGGAGGCTGTGAGGCTTCTCAAGATACTGTGAACACTGAGTCCATGGGCCTGGAATTACAGCTCCCTTGGGAAAGCAGACTGGGGGGGAAGGGTGTCCCTGGACCCTCTGGCTACTGCATTCCACCAGCTAATCAATACCTAGCAGTAGCCAGACACAGCAGTACACATCTGTAATCCTAGCACATGGAAAGCTGAGGCAGGACTGCAAGTTCCAAGCCAGCCTGGGCTACACATACCATCTAAAAAACAAAACAAAACAAGAACAACAGAGGGACTACCTGCCCCACACAGACATTCTCCTTCTCTTTTTCCTTGAAACAGAAAAGCCCGAAAGCCATTGATAAAGCCCAGTCTGCTATTTCGTGTCAGCTCCACACCTCCCCTGGTCACTGGCCCTAGTCTTCCCTGCCTCTGTCCCACAGTCCCCAGCTTCATCCTCCTGTTCCTCCATGCTCTGCCTCATGTCCTCGGCCCTGAGCTCTGGGCCTGGTTCCGGCCTTCCCTTAGATGGTCATTTTCCTTCTCCCTTCGGCCCTCGGCACAGGAATCACATTCCACCTGCCCAGCAGGGGCCTGAACACCAGAAAGCCTGTGGGAGTGAGGCTCTTTGTTTTATTCATGCCCCCCCCCCCATGTACAAAAGCACTGAGTACACACTTGCTCTGCCACCCACACCACTGGGTCCTGTTAAGGGACCACTGCAGGGTGTCAGGAAATGAGCATGTGGTAGCACCACCCCCTCATGGTCTTTTTTTTTGTCGGTCATGGGGCTTGAGTTCTGGGCTTGGACACTGTCTCTCAGCTCTTCAGCTCAAGGCAAGTGCTCTATCACTTGAGCTACAGTGACACTTCCGGTTTTCTGGTGGTTTATTGGCGATAAAGAGTTTCACGAATTTTCCTGCCCAGGCTGGCTTTGAACCTCAATCCTCAGATCTCAGTCTCCTGAGTAGCTAGGATTACAGGCATGAGCCACCGGCGCCCGGCCCCCTCATGGTCTTTTTGGTTACTGCACTGAGGCTGGTTCTACTGCCTTCAGGGATGGAGGGCATCGCCTCCTTTCTATTACCTCCCCTTGGAAAGTCTCCGCAGCAGAGGCCTGGGCTGGAGCTCTGCCATTGCTTTCTCCAGCACTGTGACCTATCTGACCTACAGCAGGGTGGAGGGTGCAGATGGGCTCTGGGAAGCCCGGAGCTCTGGGTCTCCCTTCAGTCCTCACTTCTTTAGGGGTAGGCAGTCAGCTGTCTTCTGGAAAACTCTCACGCAACTGTCACCCTTCCAAGTCTGCACCAGATCTCAATCCCACCCCTGTACCTCCAGGGCTGCCCAGGGTCCAGCACACCCATCCCTGGTGCTGAACCCCAGTGGCAATGGCCCGTGGGCCACCTGTGCACTGTCCTTGGTGCTGAGCCCGGCCACAGCCTGTACCTCTCCGGGCGCATTGCCGCTGTCCTTGGTGCTGAACACACAAGGCACCCAAAGCTCAGGCTGAGGGTGTCCCATGCAGGAGTGAAGCAGTGATTCTGGGCTGTGGGAATGTGTCTATGCTGGGCCTCACCTGCAGTCTGTGAATGAATGAGTCACAGGTCTCCCCCTACCTCCACCCACACCGTGCCCAGCACCCTGAATCCTTCCCTAGCCTGTGATATGGGTACTACCCAGACCCCATCATACAGAGATCACTGAAGCTTGTGGAAGTAAAGCTGCTTACCCAACACTCCACAGTACTGGGCCTGACTCAGACCCCAGGCATCAGCCTATTGGCTAGAGCAGGGCACATGCCTGAGGCTGCAGGCTCCTATGGCTTTGTGCATGCCCCATTCCCTCCCCGTGTTCAAGGGTGCTGGGTGCTGCAGGCCCCCACACTCACTTCTGTTTCTGCTTCATGATGCCCTCGGCGTTGGGAAGGCAGTTTGTCCATGGCAGGGACCCGTACAGCCACTTTAGCATACAATACCCCAGGCTCTGGAGGTCACTGCGGCGGGAGGGCCCTAGGGAGGGAGAGGGGGTGTCAGCACTGCCTGCCCTTCCACAGGAAGTATAGCCCAGTGCTGATCCTCCCACCCTTACCACAGCCCCGGTGCACATCCAGGCTGATGAACTCCAGGTCCCCCTCATGTGGTCTCTTGCTGCCTTCTGTGTAGGCCACGTGTCTGCCACTTGGGCAATAGCGGAAGGAGAAGCCATAGCCCACTAGGGTGACCTGTGGGCATGGGACACACAGATAGGTTAGGAGGGCAGACTGTGGGCCCATGTGAAATCCATTCATTACAGATGTTGTGTCCAATCCCCATTGCTGTGACAGTATCTGAGCAACCTGAGGAAAGAGAGGACTTATCTTGGCTCATGATTTCAGAGCTTTCTGCCCAGGGCCAGCTGCCTGGGGCCCCAGGTAAGGCAGAGTATGATGGTGGTGGGAGTCTGTGATAGAGGAGGCTGCTCTCCTCAAGGTGGCCAGGAAGCAGAGAGACAAAGGAAGGCTGGGACAAGCCATACCCTTCAGAGGCAGGATTCAAAGCTGGGGTTGTATCTCATGCCAGTAATCTCACTCTTCAGGAGGGGGAGGCAGAGGATCATGAGTTGGAGGCCAGCCAGGCCATCCTGGCAAGACCCTACCTCAAAATACCACAAAAGGGGAAAACAGATAGGAGGGGGAGAACAATGGAAGGGGTGACTCTGATCAGGAAACATGGGACATTCCAACGGACACGTTAAATTGTAACCCCTTCTGCAACCTTTTTTTAAAAAAATTTTGGTCGTGAGACTTGAACTCTGGGCCTGGGGGCTGTCCCTCAGCTCTTCAGCTCAAGGCTTCACCACTTGAGCCACAGTGCCACTTCCGGCTTTACGGTGTGTAATTGGAGGTAAGAGCTTACTCGGGCTGGCTTTGAACTGTGATCCTCAGATCTCAGCCTCCTGAGTAGCTAGGATTACAGGCGTGAGCCACCGGCACCCAGCTCTACCACCTTTTGAAGTTCAGAAATAAAATCTTAAGAGGCCTGCCTACAATGAGATATTTCCTCCACTGGGGCCCAGTTCCACCACCTTCAATAATCCCCATTGCTTTATGGCACAGATGGATTCCCTCATGGATGAGCTCCCAACATACCTCACTCCTCTCGCCCCCCATCCCCCACACCTGTCTTTGTCTTTTTTGTTGTTGGTCAGAGCCTGGGCACTGTTCCTATGCTCTTTTGCTCAAGGCTAGAGCTCTACCACTTTGAGCCACAGCTCTACTTCGTTTTTTGGGTTTTTTTTCCCAGTTATCGGGCTTGAACGCTGGGCCTGGGCGCTGTCCCTCAGCTCTTCAGCTCAAGGCTAGCACTCTTACCACTTGAGCCACAGCACTACTTCTGGGTTTTTCTCTTTATGTGGTGCTGAGGAATCAAACCCAGGGCCTCATGCATGCAAGGCAAGCACTCTACCTCTGAGCCACCTTCCCAGCCCCTACTTCCAGTTTTCTGATTTTTTTTTTTGGTACTGGGGATCGAACCCAGGACATTGCGCTTGCTAGGCAAGCGCTTTGCCACTGAGCTACATCCCAGCCCTGATGTTTTAACTGGAGATGAGAATCTCATACTTTCCTGCCTGGGCTGGCTTTGAACCATGATCCTCAGATCTTAGCCTCCTGAGTAGCTAGGAATACAGGTGAGAGCCATCATTGCCTGGCTTATGGATTTTTTTTTTCTTTTTTGCCAGTCCTAGGGTTTGAACTCAGGGCCTGGGCACTATCCCTGAGCTTCTTTTGCTCAAGGCTAGCGCTCTACAACTTGAGCCACAGTGCCCCTTCCAGCTTTTTCTGTGTATGTGTTACTGAGGAATTGAACCCAGGGCTTCATGATGCTAGGCAAGCGCTCTACCACTAAGCCACATTCCCAGCTCCTGCAGATTTTTCTGTGCACTACTTTTTACCCTTTGTTTATCATCTTTCTAGTAAGTTGCTTGTCTCTTCTTAGTCCAAGGAATCCCTTATATGTGATGGATGGCAATCCTTTGTTTGCAAGAAGCACTGTGAAGCCAATGGAGATTTGCAGGTGGGTGAGATCCTGAGCTCAAAGAATTTCAGAAGTGTGCAGGTAGGGGTCAGGTGTGGAGGGGACTGGCAGGGACTTACCTGACTCAGATCCTCTGGATTCACAAAGACACACGCAGCTGTCAGATTTCCATGAACATACTCGCTTTCATGGAGGAACTCCAGGGCATCCAGCTAGAAAGAGAGTGCATCAGATAGGCCTGCTTGTCACAGAGAGGCTCTGATGCAGAGGTGGATGGGGGACCCTCACTACTAGGCCTGGAGGGAGAGTGGGGGGGGGGGGGGGGGGAGTTGTTCAGCACTGCATGTGGCTTGTCTCACTCTGGCAGCCCTGGGACATCCACTGTCCTAGGTCCCCAGATAACAATGGTCAAGAGGCTCTCTCCACATACCCAGCAGTGTGAGGGCCTCCAGGTGGCAGGTCGGGAGTGCTGCCCCGGAAGTGCAGTGAATTAGCAACCTGAGCAAGGAGGAGCTGAGCCTGCCCACATCAGGCACCTACCAGGCGGCAGGCCAACTGAAGCACACACTTCTCTGACACAGCATGCCTTGGGCTGTCATCCAGGGCTGACTGAAGGCTCCGCCCCAGGCTGGGGAACACCAAGAACCTGGACGACAGGAGAGCAGGACTTAGAAGCTACTTCTGCTGAAAGTTCTGGCTCCCTGCTTGGGCCTGCAAATATTCAAAGGGAACTAAAAGCAGGACAAAAACGTGGCATCCATCGCTGCCTCCATTCTGTTCTGAGCGATCTCTCTACGGGCTCCTCGGTTTCCTGGAAGAGCAGTACAGAATGGATGGATAAATGCCTTGGTGAGGTGTGTGTCTGTGTATGTGCACATGCGCAAAAGTGTCGCTACTGTTAGTTTGAACTCAAGGTCTGGGTGCTATACTTTAGGTTTTTCCACTCAAGGTTAGCACTCTACTTGCACCACAGCTCCACTTCCAGCTTTTTGGTGATTAATTGGAGGTAAGAGTCCCACGGACTTCCCTGCCTGGGTTAGTTGGGCAGCAGACCTCATATGGAGAACCCTAGAACTGGGCCTCCCACAAGCATCCCAGGACATGGCTTGCACAGGAGAGGGAGGAATACAGACCCCAAGGGAAGATGGTGGCCAGGGCACTGCAAGGCCCTGCACTTGGGTGACTGAAGGATTGAGAGTAGCCAAGCCCAGGCAGAAGGCCCACTATGGGACTGGCAAGGGGGGCAGGGGCTCACCTGTATTTGTCCTGGTGAACACCAAAACCGATGCAGGTGGGGATGGCGAGCAGCGGGGTTGAGTTCAGCTTCTTCCATTTGTTCACTGGGGGAGGTGGGTGCAGGGTCACACCCCACCCCCACCCTGTCCCAGGCCCAGAAACCTCACACCCATAAAACAGAAGTGAAAAGTGATGGAGCCTAGGTGACTCTGGGTCTCTTTGTTGGAGATGCCATCTTTGTGAGTAGGGAAAGGGTGCACATGAGTGACCCAGTAAGGTTTTGTAACCCATGTCTACAGGCGACTTCTGAGAAAGCACATATAAATCTGGAACAAATGGAAGATAGAAACTATGCAGAGCTGGGAAGGTGGCTCAGTGGTAGAGCGCTTGCTTTGCATGCATGAGGCCCTGGGTTCGATTCCTCAGCACCACATAAGCAAAAAGAAAAAGGCAGGAAGTGGCGCTGTGGCTCAAGTGGTAGAGCGGTAGCCTTGAGCTGAAGAGCTGAGGAACAGCGCCTAGGCCCAGAGTTCAGGCCCCATGACTGGGACCCAAAAAAATAAAAAATAAATAAATCAGAATTATGCAGCCTGGAGCTGCTGGCTCTGGGTACTCAAGAGGCTGAGATCTGAGGATCAAGGTTTGAAGCCAGCCTAGGCAGGAAAGTGTGCGAGACTCTTTTCTCCAATTAACCATTAAAAAGTTGGAAACGGAATTGTGACTCAAATGGTAAGAGTGCAAGCCATGAGGGAAAAAGCTAAGGGATAACGCCCATGACCTGAGTTCAAGCTCCAGTATGGTATGAGCCAAGCCATTTGCCCTCTGAGGCCCAAGGGTGACAGGAGTCAGGCTGTGGGGGATGGAAGATGCACAGGGCATCAGGTGCATCATCCACACAACAGGGGAAAGGCTAGAAGCTGTGAGCAAGCTGGTGGCCCCGCCCTTTCCTGTGGAATACCTTGCAGAGGCTTGGCAGCCCTCTGGAAGAAGTTCTGCTCATTGAACAGGCGCCCATCCTTGGCATCCTGGTGGGGATCAGAGTGCAGATGTCACATTGAACTCCCTTAGACAAGAGCCCAAGTCACCACCGTTACCCCAGAGGAGTACTAGGGACGACCAAGTTCTTCATGTTCCCACATGAGGACTGAACTGCCCAGGGCTGTCACACATAAGTCTGGCTCAGAGGCTGTGAGCTCATTCTAAGTACTCCCAACTGATTTCCTTTTTCTGATAGGATCCACAAGATTTCCCTAGACAAGCTGCCTACAGTTAAAACTACATTTCCCAGGATCCTTTTTAACAAGGCAAAAATCACAGGACCAGGTTCTAGCCAATGAAGATATGGACAAAAGAAATGTGATATTCAGGTCATTCCCTTAAAAGCCTAAGATGCATCACCCTTACATGGCTACTTATTAAGCTGTCTACTTATCCTGCCACCTCCCCCCTCCTCCCCGGGAGCTCCCTGAGGGCAGGAACTAGTGTCCAGGGCTCCAGTGCTCCTGACAAGCCAGAGGCACCCTGGATCTGTGCCAGGCCCTCCCAGCTTGCAGAGGTATTCAGAGCTCAATGGTCTTTCCTCTGAGCTGCCCACCTACTACCCAGGGGCCAACTTACCAGTTTGAGGGAGAAACGATGTTTTGCAGGCCTGGACCTTGACTGGCAGGGGAAGGCAGAGGCAGGCTCAGCTGTGGAGGAACAGGTGTGTGTGTGTGTGTGTGCGCGCGTGTGTGTGTGCAGGCTCAGCTGTGGAGGAACAGGTGTGTGCGTGTGTGTGTGTGTGTGCGTGTGTGCGCGCGTGTGTGTGTGCGCGTGTGTGTGTGTGCGCGTGTGTGTGTGCGCGCGCGCGCGCGTAGGGAGTAACCAGGGTTGTGGCTTCCAAACCTCCCAGCAACAATTTCCTAACTGGAAAGGTCAAGGTCCTAACTGGGAAAGGTCAAACTTATAACTGGGGAAGGTCAGGGTCATTGCTCCCAAACTCCCCAGCAGTCAGCAGCAGCTCCTCGATTCCCACAGGCAAGTGCACTCTTGGTGTTCAACACTCACTTCTGCCTATTCCCTCCCTGCCCTGTTTGTTTTGGTTGGTCATGGGGTTAGAACTCTAGGCCTGGGTGTTGTCTCAGAGCTCTTCAGCTCAAGGCGAGCACTCTACCACTTAAGCCACAGCGCCACTTCTGTTTATGTGGTGCTGAGGAATCAAACCCAAGGCCTCATGCATGCGAGGAAAGCACTCTACCAGAACCACCTTTCCAGCCCCCCTTTCCCCATTTTTGCACAGGAAATAGTCTAGGACCTTGTGTATATTAGGCAATTGCAAGTAAGTCACACCCTCAGCCTTTTTTATCTGATTTGTTGTTGTTATGGTAAGAAAACTTGGCAGAGCTTTATTGAGTAAATAAGCAGGCAAGCAGACAAACAGGCAAAAAGCAGACAAACACACACAGAAGGGCAGGGGCACACTCTAACAGAGTGTGTGTGCTCTCATAGGGAGAGACACCCTGATTTTGTTGAGACTGGATCTCACTAATGTTGCCCAGGTTGACCTACAACTTGTGACCTTCCTATCTCCACAGTGAGGTGCAGGGGTCCCTCCCCATTCTCCGTGCTGAGCGCCGGGGCCCCGTGTACCTTCATAGAGAATGCCCTGATCATCCCTGCTCTGGAAGTCCCCCAGCTTCCAGCACTGCCCGCTCTTGTCTGTCAGCACCGTCCCTGTGGGCAAAGCCTCGAGTGAGGTGGTCACTCGGCTCCGCTTCAGTGTCTGAGGGCTCTGCCTGTTGGCCTTTGGGCTGCTTTTGGGGGTTGAGGATCTGCTCCGGGCCCCTGCAGGAAGATGGAACCCATAGAGAAAAGGCAGCATTAGGGGCTGGGCTGTGGCTCAGTGGTAGAGCACCTGCCTTGCAGGTGTGAGGCTTGAGATTCAAACCCAGTACCATCAAACAAATAAAATGCAAATACAGGGAATGTTTGGAGAAAAAAGTTGTTCAGGGGAAGAAAACAATCACAATGTTACTTGCTCAGTTAGTCAGTCATTCATTCAGCAAATGTTTCCTTAAAGGTCAAGATGTTTGTGTGGTGATTCAGTGGAGTCAGAATCACCTGGAACTGCCCCCCACCCCCCAGAACCCCCTAGTGTGAGGAGATGGTGCATACAGTCTGATATAAATGTGTCCAGTCAGACAGATACTAGAGCCAGAGACCAGCAGTAACTGAAGGAGTCAGAGGAAGCTACCTGGAGGAAGGCGCATTACAGCTGAGTCTTGTTGGATGAGTATAAGTTTTTTGCCATGGGGAAAAGGACATTACAGATATTGGCCGCAAAGCAAATGGAAACAGGACTTGGCCCTAAGCTGAGTAGAAAGAGGACCCAGAAATGTGTTAAATGGACATATCACCCACCTCCTGCCCACTGTCCCCCCCCCCCCATGGCACACAATGGCCAACAAGAATGGCCAGTCCATCTTGGAGCCAGATGAGAGTGGTGCATGATGGGAGCAGTGGGGGCTATAGTGAAGATAAACAGGAGGGAGGGCTGGAGGTGTCAGAGGGTCCTGGCAAGTGGCCAGGCCGATAGCAGCTTTGTCTCACACTTTGTCAGATGACCCATCCAGAGTCAGACGACTTCCAACTCTTACCTCTGGCCTTCCCAGGGGGACTGAAGATCTCTTCAGACTCAGAAATGTGACCATCAGAGAGGAGGGTTGATTTGCGGCAGGGGACAGTGTGTGACCATTTCACTTTCTTGGGAGAAGTTTCAGAACTGGAGCTGAACTCTTTCCTTGAGCCTAAAGGCAGACCAGACGCAGACCGTAGTTATGAAATCATTAGGTTTCAGCAAAGCAAAAACCTGCACTCATGCTTAGCCATGTTCTTCCCTTTGACTCAGCTTCCTGCTGCTTCTTTCATCAGTGTCAACAACCATTCCCTTCTTTTTCCTTCTTTTTTTTTTTTTTTTTTGGTCGGTCATGGGCCTTGAACTCTGGGCCTGAGAGCTGTCCCTCAGCTCTTCAGCTCAAGGCTAGCACTCTACCACTTAAGCTATAGCGCCACTTCCAGTTTTCTAGTGGTTTATTGGAGATACGAGTTTCACAGACTTTCATGCCTGGGCTGGCATTGAACCGTGACCCTCAGATCTCAGCCCCCTGAATAGCTAGGATTACAGGTGTGAGCCACAGGCGCCCAGCTTCCATTCCCTTCTTTTATTTATTCTCTTATCCATGGGGCCTAACGCCACCATCTGCTAACTCTGTGCCTTCTTCTAGGTAACTGCTTCAGATGTCTTACAGTTCAGTAACTTTCACTTTAGCTATATCTAGTAGGCCATTTAAACCACACACTGAATTTGACTCTAATAGTGTATATCTATCTATCTACCTGTATAGATATATAAATTTACATGCATACACACATATATGTATTTAAAGATGCACATATGCCATCTCCTAGGTGTCAAGTGGGCATTTGGCTGTATTTGGACTGAGTTCAGGGAAGGAATGAGATAAGAGACAGGAAGGTACGTTCTTCTACACACAGCAAGGGTTAGTGAACCAAGGACTAGGGACTTTTTCTCTGTCAAGGGCCCTTGGAATACATGTAACAGTCATTCCTAGGCCTTACAAATGATCAACCCAGGCAAGCAGGCCTCTCAGCGGTATACATATCTGTGTCATCCTGTGCCAAGTGATTCTGAGGGCCAGATACTGCCTGACAGGAGTGGGTAACAAAAAGATTCCCAGCTCTGGATAGCTGGGGCCCATGAGAAGCCCAGGGACCATGTGTGCAAGCAGAACTGCTGGGCCTAAGTCCCAGGCCTCACGAGGGTCTGGGCAGTGTCTGTCCTCCTTGCACCACCCTCTAGCACCTCACCATGCAGCAGGAATGTTCTCAGCTTTCTTCTTTCCTTTCTTTCTCCCTTCCCTTCCCCTTCTCTTCCCTTCAAGCTAGCCTTGAGCTTGCGATCCTCCTACCTCCACAAGCTGAATGCTAAGATCACAGGCATGCCCCAGCACACCCAGCTAAATCTACTGTGTCCTCACCTTGGAAGGATGATTGGAATGGGCTGACACAGCTCGATGACCCCTCATGTTCCTCTGTAGGCAATGGGCTCCCACAGTACGGGCAGAACTTAAATGTTGCTTCAACACTTTTGCCACAGCCTGGACAGAAGGAGATCATGCTACAAAACAGAGAGGAGAGTGAGACAGGGAGCCGACACCGCCATCCCTGCTGCTGAGCTGTCATTTGTCTTCCACAGTGACACGTGACCCAATTCAGTGAGCCTGCCTTTACCTTATCTACACACTGCAACTTGGACCTTAGGCACTGTCCTGAAGCTTTTGTGCTCAAGGCTGGTGCTGTACCACTTGAGCCACAGCTCCATTTCTGGCATTTTTGGTGATTAATTGGAGAGAAGAGTCTAGTGGATTTTTCTGCCCAGGCTGACTTTGAATCATAATCTTTAGATATCAGCCTCCTGAGTAGCTAGGATTATAGGTGTGAGCAACCAGTGTCCAGCTTCCATTGTTTGTTTATCCCCCCCCCCCCACCCCCTGTTCGTGGGGCTTGAACTCTGGGCCTGGGCACTGTCCAGTTCAGCTCAAGGCAAGCACTCTACTACTTGAGCCACAATGCCACTTTTGGTTTTCTTTGGTTTACTGGAGATAAGAGTTTCATGGACTTTTCCTGCCCAGGCTGGCTTTGAACCTTGATCCTCAGATCTCAGCCTCCTGAGTAGCTAGGATTACAGGTGTGAACCACAGGTACCCGGCTCCACTGGGTCTTGTTTCACTCCTAGTGATTCTCCTATTTGTACTTCCATGTGTTACTGAGTTGACAAGCATGTGTGATCAGATGCAGCCATTGGTTGAGATGGAATCTCTCTCTCTCTCTTTTTTTGGGTCCGGTCATGGGGCCTGAACTCTGGGCCTGGGCGCTGTCCCTCAGCTCTTCAGCTCAAGGCTAGCGCTCTACCACATGAGCCACAATGCCACTTCCGGCTTTTTTCTTTTTGCTTATGTGGTGCTAAGGAATCGAATCCAGGGCCTCATGCATGCAAAGCAAGCACTCTACCACTGAGCTACCTTCCCAGCCCCAGAGATGGAATCTCTTAAGCTACTTTTTCTTTTTCTTTTTTTGGTGGTTGTATGGCTTAAACTCTGGGCACTGTCTCTCAGCTCTTCAGTTCAAAGCGAGCGCTCTACCACTTGAGCTACAGTACCACTTCCAGTTTTCTGGTGGTTAATTGGAGATAAGAGTCTCTGGGGGACTTTCCTGCCTGGGCTGGCTTTGAACCGTGATCCTCAGATCTTAGCCTCTTGAGTAGATAGGATTTCAGGCGAGAGCCACCAGCGCCCGGCCTTAAGCTACTTTTTCTTGCATGAGTTGGCCCTGAACTGCAATGTTCACTCAGAGAGGTGGCAGTGGCAGGAGTGGGCTGTGGGTGTGAGGAGGCCTCAGGGATCATGAGCCCCAAGGGACAGTACCTTTATGGACCCACAGTCTGGTCCTTGCCCTCACTGAACTGGAAACTCCATCCTGATGATGGCCTGGAAGGGAACAAAGGAGCAGGCACAGACTCAGGCTCACTATCCAGGTCAGAGTTAAAAGGTTAATATTAACTGAGCACTGGACAAGAAGTCCACCCTTTCTTCCTCCCATCCTTCGCTTCCTTCTTCCTCCCCACTCCCCTCCTTCTGTCCCTCCTACATAATTACTAGTTATTATTTTTGCCAGTGCCAGGGCTTGAACTCAGGTGCTGAGAGCTGTCCCTGAGCTTTTGTGTTCAGGGTTAGTGCTCTACCACTAAAGCCATTTTTGGGTTTAGGGCTATTTAATTGGTGATAAGAATCTCACGGACTTTCCTGCCCCCGTTGACTTCAAATCATGACCCTCATATGCCAGCTTCCTGAGTAGCTACAATTATAGGTGTGAGACAGCAGCACCTGTCATATCCAACTTATACTAGTGGAGAGAGGATGTTGCAAGTTTTTTGTCTGGGTTGACTTCAAACCACCAGTACAATGGTTGGGATTTAATCTGCTGAGGTTTAACTGTATTTTTTTTCCTTTGTCGGTAGTGGGGCTTGAACTATGGGCTTGGGCACTGTCCCTGTGCTCTTCAGCTCAAGGCAAGTGCTCTACCTCTTGAGCCATAGCACCACTTCTGGTTTTCTAGTGGTTTATTGGAGATAAGAGTCTCACGGACTTTCCTGCCCGGGCTGGCTTTGAACCGAGATCCTCAGATCTCAGCCTCCTGAGTAACTAGGATGACAGGTGTGAGCCATGGCACCCAGCTAACTGTATTTTTTTTTTGTCTTTTCTTTTTTGGTACTGGGGATTGAACCCAAGACATTGCACTTGCTAGGCAAGCACTTTGCCACTGAGCTACATCCCAGCCCTTTCTGAGGTTTAAATCTGGCTTTTGCCCATGTACTGGGGTCATGTTGAATAATTATTATTGGATAATTGTTTTTTTCTGGGATGGGGATTGAACCCAGTTTCTCATACATGCTAGGCAAGCACTCTGTTTCTGTGTAATATTCTTAGCACATGCAGGGGACATACTAATCAGGCTAGCAGACTAACCCATCCAGGTACATTGAGAAAAGAAATATCTTTTTTTTTAATTGTAGATGAGTCACCTGGCCTATATAAAATATAAACTATCTTAATGACTCAGCTCCATTCATTTCTAGCCATGTGGTTCCCAAGCAGTTAAATTAACTCCTACCCCAGACATTTGTACCTGTGGCTCCCTCTGCAACAAATGCTCCTCTCACTATAGCTGGTTTGCTTTTCATTCTTCAGGTCTCACCTCAACAGTTCTTCCCTGACTACTACATAAAAAGTACTGCCCCTACACACAATGGACACAATGGACTTCCCTCATCATTAACATTCAATGACATCTAACAGGGCTGGGAAGGTGGCTCAGTGGTAGAGCGCTTGCCTTGCATGCCTGAGGCCCTGGGTTCGGTTCCTCAGCACCACATAAGCAAAAAGAAAAAAGCCGGAAGTGGCGCTGTGGCTTGAGTGGTAGAGTGCTAGCCTTGAGCTGAAGAGCAGAGGGACAGCGCCCAGGCCCAGAGTTCAGGCCCCACGACCGGACCCAAAAAAAAAAAAAATAAATAAAACAATGACATCTAACACCGGTTCATATTTCCTTGTACTAATCAGCTGGTGCTGGGTGTGTTTCAAACTCCAGAATTACTGCTGGGTGCAGTAGCTCCCACCTATAATTCTACACATACTTCAAAGGTGATCAGGAGGATTGAAGTTTAAAGGCCAACCTGGGCCTCGGTCAAATAAAATGGGTGTGGAGGCATGCAGCCTGGACCTCAGCCATCTGGGTGACCTTATGTAAGTATGCAGGCAAAATCCTAACTGAAAAACAACTAAAGCAACAACAACAACAACAAAGTGAGGTGGCTTGCACTTGATAGGCAGGTGTTCTACCTCTTGAGTCACACCCCCTACTCTTTTCTCCGTTAATTATTTGTTTGGCCTGGGGCCAGACTCCAACCTAGATCTTCCTGGACTGCCTCCAGAGCTGGTTGGGATTCTTGGAGGCACTGTGCTCAGCCTTTTCTTTGCAATGGGATCTTGCTAACCTTTCTCCCAGGCAGGTCTTACACCTCGTTCCTCCGGATCTCAGCCTCCAGAATAGATAGGATTCCAGGCGCGAGCCACCGAAGCCTTATATACAGAAAGAGCTTAATAAATATGGGAAGAAATGGGTTTCTGAGAGCTGAAGGCAGAAGGTCGCCTTGCCAGCTCAGGACTTGGATCAGGTTCAGATCCTCAGGACATTCTTTTATTACTGGTTTGTCCTTTCATCAAAACATTCCCTGACAACGCTAGGTCTCAACTACAGTGTTCCTCTTTGGTTCCAAGTTACAACACCGTAAAAGGACGGGCAGTCGCCTAGGTGACGGCCGACGCAGAAACGCCATGACGTAGTCGGCGTGGAAGACACTAGTAAACCCCGCCCACCGCTCTGACCCCGCCCACCCAGACAGACACCCCCCCCCCCCCGCCCGTCCTTAAAAGATGAACTGGGTTCACTCTAGACGACCCCCGAGCTTGACGACCCCCGAGCTTCCCGGCCCCGCACCCCGGGCGCCGCCTCCCACCAAGGGCCCGGCTGGAAAGGGATTAGGGTTCTTCCGGCCGGTCCGCCCCCCTCTCCCTTCCAGTGCCTGAGGAGAAGGGGTTCGGGTTCTTCTGGCTGCTTCGCCTCGCTCTCCCCTCCCCCTGTGCCTGAGGAGAAAGCCGAGGTACAGGATTTCAGCGGCTTAGGCCCCAGGGAGTAGGACGCCAGGACTTACCTCAGTAGCCCCGCGGAAACTTCCGCTAGGGCGGGAGGCGCTGCGCGCGCATCCTCCACCCGGCAGCCGGACCCAGGCGCGCAGGCGCAGATGATTTCTAACGGCCGCGAGCGCTCACCTGGGAACTTCATTTCCCAGACGGCCTTGCGGCAAGAGCCAACACTGCGGGCTGGAGAGGGTGAAGGATTATCCCTCATCGCTCACCCACAACAGAGCATTTTCTGTAATTGTATTGCTCAAGTGCTAACGTGAAGCCAATAGAGGTGAAATGCAGGCGTTCTCCACCAATCAGAGGTTATGTTACCATTTCCTGCCCCTCCTCCTGCCAGTCACAGAAATGCTCTTCCTTCACTTGTTTCCCTGGAAACCCTTTAACTTCCAGCTTCAACAAAGGAAAAAGCTTTGGAAGGGCTGGAAAAGGTAAAGGCATTTTAATGGCTAAAATCTAGACTACTGAACTACCCTTACTAACATTTCTCAGCGTGCTCAGCGGGGCGCAGATTGGAAGGGAAGCGCAGGCGCACAGTCCTCTGGGAAATGTAGTCCCGGTGCTTGGCGCGGAGGGTCCTGGGTAGTGTAGTTCGTAGGCGGACACTACTGCGTGGCGGCGAACGTGCGAGGACTTGAGTGGCCGGATCTGTGGAGTTGGGGAGGCGTCGATTTCTCCTTGCGGAGGCGTCGATTTCTCCTTGCGGAGGCGCTGGCGGAGGTCGCTGGGAGCGAGCGGGAGGCTAGCGGACTCCCCGAGGGATGACAGGACGGCTAGAGCGCGTCGCCTAGGGAGTCAAGTGGCTGGAAGTTCGAGTCCTTTCTCTGAGCCTGGAAAGCTGGGCCCTGACTCCCGGGCTCCCCGGGCTCCCCGCGCCGGCCGGTGACTTTTATTTCAGTTTGGGGTTGAGGAAATGAAGCAGCTGGCTGAGTTGTTCTGATCTGTGGTCTTGAGAGATGAATAGTAGTTTTTGAAGAGGTGGAAGTATTTCACTTTTTTTTTTTTTTGCCGGTCCTAGGGCTCGAATTTTGTGCCTGAGGCGCTGTCCCTGAGCTTCGTTTGCTCAAAGCGAGCTCTTTGCACCACGATCCTCAGATCTCAGCCTCCTGAGGAACTGGGATGACAGGTGTGAGCCACTGGCGTTTAGAGCGTTACTGTGCTGCCCCAGGTCCCAGGGCAATGGTTGTAGACTTCCATCTCAGTCTGGTCAGATTCTCCCCCCTCCACTGGGCCCCAGTTTCCATATAATTAAAAGCCAAGAGACAACCAGAACTCCCCCCCCCCAAAAAAAATTCAAACCTACATTTTTCTCCTCTCAATGCCCTTGGCAAACAGAATCTTTTTTTTATTCAGATTTTATAAAAATAATAGGGTGCATATTTCATAATCTAGACTCCAGTGGAATCTGGGGCCAGTGCTTTATTGTCAAGTATTTCCGCAAGGATTCACACTGATAAGAGAAACTTTACTGTCAAGATAGCTGTTGTAGAAAAAACAACTATTTTGGGAGGTCAATTGGCTCAAATCCTAGGGAAATACAGGCATAGTGGTTTAGGCCTGAAATCCTATCTAAGTAGAAGGCAGAGATTGTGAGGATCCTAAGATTAGTAGCCAACCCTAGGCAGAAAGAGACCTCAAAACAAGCCTAGAGTCTGCTGATGGTGGCTTACACCTGTATTCCCAGCTTCTCAGGAGGCTGAGATCTAAGGATTACAGTTGGAAGCTAGCATGTACAGGAAAGTCCAAGTAACTTCAATTTGTCTACAGTGAATCACCAGAAAACTGGAAGTGGAGCTGTGGCTCTAAGTGGTAGAACATTATTAGCCTTGAACAAAAAAAGGTTGAGTTCAAGCTCCATGACCAGCAAGACAACAACAACAAAAACCAAGCCCAGAGTGGTAGCACACACCTGTAATCCCAGCTCCACAGGATGGGTGTATATGGTAGGCAGATTGTAGTCAGAGGCCAGCCACCTGAACAAAATTGGAAAGACCTGCTCTGAAAAGTAAAGTAAAAAATGGCTGGATGGGGAGAGCACATGGCTCAAGGAGTAGAATGCCTAACACACACAAGGGTCTGAGTTCCGATTTCACCAACAAATCCTAAAGAAGAAAATCAGAAACACAAAAAGCAGTCTTAGCAGTTCAGTTAGACACAGGACTCATTTCTGGTTGGGTCAATTATACAGGAAGCACTTGGTATAGAGCGCCCCCTGCTTTACTGACACACAGCAGTGAGGAGGATGGTTGCCCAGGCAGAAAAAGTTTGTTGGACCCTCTTCCCCACCCTTGTCAATCCACATTTGGGTACAGTGGGAGGATGAGGTTGGGAGAATGTTGGTGCCAGGCCAGGCTGGGTAGAAAAGTCCAGGAAACTGATTCTATGGACAGGAGCCAGACATTGTGTCTGGTGCATGCATGTGATGTCAGGGATGACGGGAAGCAGGAGGTGGCAAGCAGCCCAGTAGCATGCCTAGGTAGGGAACAAGATCCTATCCTGAAAATAACAATTCAAAATAGGGCTGGAGCTGGGATCCAGTGGCTCACGCCTGTAATCCTAGGTATTCAGGAGGATGAGATCTGAGGATCACAATAGGAAGCCAGCTTGGAGAGAAAAGTACCTGTGAGAGTCTTTTATCTCCAATGAACCACTCAAAAACCAGAAGTGGTGCTGTGGCTCAAAGTGGTAGAGCACTAGCCCTGAGCAAAAGAACTCAGGGTTGGTGCCCAGGCCCTGAGTTCAAGCCCCACAACTGACCAAACAAACAAACAAACATGGCTGGGGACAAGGCTCCACGCCATCACTAGAAGTACACGTTCCTAACACAAGGCCCACCAGTGGAAATGGTGAGTGTAGTTTTAATAAATATGGGTGTCATTGTGATTGCTGCAGGGAGACTGGGCCCCACTTCTGGACATAGAGGGCTTGGCATGGACGGGGAGTCAGCCCTGGAAGGATGGGGACGATCGGCAACACTGCCAGTCGTGGATATGGAGGGGGAGGAGCAGCCGCCCCAAGACCACTGGCAAGCAGCCATGGCTGAGGTGAGTCGAAAATCCATTAATCTTCATGGAGTGTCTCCAAGGGAACAGCAGCGTGCCTTTCCTGAGCCTCACCTTGACTCCCAAGCCATTTACACAATCCAGACTCTCAGGGGGTCCTCCCAGGAACCCCAATTGGCTATGGGATAAAAGTGGGTTCCTCAGGGCCTGGGAAGGTGGCTCAGTGGTAGAGCGCTTGCCTTGCATGCATGAGGCCCTGGGTTCGATTCCTCAGTGCCACATAAGCAAAAAGAAAAAAGCTGGAAGTGGCGCTGTGGCTCAAATGGTAGAGCGCTAGCCTTGAGCTGAAGAGCTGAGGGACAGTGCCCAGGCCCAGAGTTCAGGCCCCACGACCGGACCCAAAAAAAAAAGTGGGTTCCTTAGCTCATCCCAGCATCATCTGCCATTTCCCCAGATAACCAGTGCCTGCCCTAGAGGCCAGATGTCATGCTGCACTTGCCAGGTGCCCTGCCTTGGCTGTGTCTTCTGCCTGGATGTCCTGCCAATGTCCTCCCCGGCTTAGCCCCGCCATTCCTGGCCCTGCTGGGGCCTCTGCCCGCCCTCTGTGCGTCCATAGTAGCCTCACTCACCTCAGTGTTGCTGTCCCTGCCCCTGCCCCTGCTGGCTACAATACCCGACCCAGCTCTTGTATGGGATTTTTTTTTTGGGGGGGGGGGTGGAGGTAGAGGGGAAGCTGGGCCTTGTCCCTGAGTTTTTGTTTTCAAGGCTAGTACTTTACCACTTTAAAACTGCATCTCTACTTCCAGTATTTTTGGTGGTTCATTGGAGATAAGAGTTTCAGACTCAAGTGGTAGAGTGCTAGCCTTGAGCTGAAGAGCTGAGGGACAGTGCCAAGGCCCAGAGTTCAAGCCCCAGGACCAACCAGAAAAAAAAAAAGCTTCATGGATTTTCCTGCCTGGGCTGACTTTGAACCAAGATCCTCAGATCTCAGCATCTTGAGTAGCTAGGATGACAGGTGTGAGCCATTGATGCCCAGCAAAGGCTTGTTACACAACAAGACTCAAGAGGGGTTTGTTGAATGAATGAATACATTTCTCTACTTGGTAAACACCTGCTCATCTCTTACTGGTCCTGGGTGGATGTCCCCCCACCCCACCCCCGACTCCGGGAGGCTTACCTCTCCTCTGTTCCCTGGCTCCCTCAGCCCCTAACGCCATGGCTGTCCACTCAGTCTGTGTAGCAGACTGAGCAATCAAGGCCAAGGCCAGATTTAACATGTGTCTGTGTGCCCAGCTCTTGCCATGGGAGTCTGGCACCCAGATCAAAGGCAATGACCCTGTTGCCTTCTGTGGCTCCCCAGTGCCACATCCCTGCCCTTGTCTTCCTGTCCACTCCACTGCTGTTTCTGGGGTTTCAGGGGCCTGTCCAGTGTGGACTGGGAGCTGGGAAAGGGGAGGCCTCCCCTCAGGCCCTCTGATCTAGCTCCTGAGGATAAACCTTTTTTTGGGGGGGTGGGGGGGAGGTCAGTCATGGGGCTTGGACTCCAGGCCTGGGCACTGTTCCCCAGCTCTTCAGCTCAAGGCTAGTGCTCTACCCTTGATCCACAGTGCCACTTCTGGTTTTCTAAGTGGTTCATTGGAGATCAGAGTCTCATGGACTTTCCTGCCCAGGCTAGCTTTGAACCATGATCCTCAGATCTCAGCCTCCTGAGTAGCTAGGATGACAGGCATGAGCTACTGGCCCCTGGTTGAATAAAACGTTTTGACTCATCCTTAGAGACAGGGTCATTTCAATAACAAGAAGCCCTGGATTCGATTCCTCATCACCACAGACACTGTAAAAGCCAGAGTGGGGCTGTGGCTCAAGTGGTAGAGTGCTAGTCTTGAATAAAAGAAGCTCAAGGAGCCGGGTGCCAGTGGCTCATGCCTGTAATCCTAGCTACTCAGGAGGCTGAGATCTGAGGGTCACGATTCAAAGCCAGCCCGGGCAGGAAAGTCCGAGAGACTCTTATCTCCAATAAACCACTAGAAAACCGGAAGTGGCGCTGTGGCTTAAGTGGTAGAGTGCTGGCCTTGAGCTGAAGAGCTGAGGGACAGCGC